AGAGTGTTAGCAAGAAACAGGTATCTGAAGGGTCGCATAGGAAAACCTTCCCTAAGCATAGAACTCTTCCTTCTTGAGGTAGCAATGCTAATGACTGATCTTTGGAATCATTGGATATTTGTATTGTGTTTTGTCTTCCCTTAAAGCAGTTCATTTTGGTAAGAGTTAGGTGGTCAGGAAGCCATAGGAGGTACATGTCATATGTGGCGAGAGCTCTTGTATGAGCTGTTTAATAAAGCCAAGGTGGAAAGTCATCCTAATTTTTATGTAATGTATTTTCTGTATTTTTTCATTTTTACTTAAGTTATTCATCTGTTTGTATTTCCTGTAAAGCATTAAGTACTTGTAATGCTCAGACACATGCACTGTACACATTGTAGAAAGTTCTCATTCTGCATTGCTGAGATTAAACCAGTTAAGGTATGCCCTCAGGTTGCACGTTTTCTGTAGAGAGAGATTTAAAGAGCAGACCTTCTTACAATGGATATTTTTAACTGGATTTCTGCTAACCACATCAAGCTGTGTTGTGATTTGGCAAAAATGAGACTCACTCGCATGAGTGACAACATATTTTACTAGGGCACAAGAAACCCTTGCTGCTGCTTTGAGAAATGTTCTCGCAATAGAAAGGCAAATATTTAGTACAGGAACAGCATACGTATTTGCTCAGTATTGCTAAATAGTGAAAGCGTCCTATTCTTATTTTAGTACGTCTGTTTGAAAAGGACTCTGAAGGGCAGGAGTCAAATCACTTTAGTTTTTTTTTAATTTTCTGGAATTCATGTTGATAGAGTCTTCATTGATTAACGAAGATGATTCATTGACTTAGCTTAAGTTTTACAGTCTATGTTGTGAATGCGTAAGCTCTACATGGAGATATAGCATGTTCAGATATGCAATTGATTTACTGATTTACATGAGTCCTTAAGCTCAGTTTGAATTGTGAGTCATTAATTCACCATTGAAGGATAATGATTAAACAAGTGACCTTTTGACAGCATAGTTGGGAAGAGGTTCTGAGAGGAAAAATGAAATTAGGTGAATGGTCTGATAGTAGAGACTGAATTGCCTTTCAATGCACTGCAGGTGTGATCCGAAAGGATTTGTTTCAGTTAGCTCAGTGCCTTCTTGGTATTCTTTCAAAATGATTGATTATAGTATGCTATAGTCAATGAAATGACATTAGCAGATTCAGAAATATTTAATAGTAGGTGTAAAGAAGTCTTTGGACAAAAGAAATGTATCAGTATGACTCAGCTTTTGTTCCCTAGTCTGTATTGAAAGCTGGTTGTGAGGGATTCATGAGACTGATGGCAGATTGTAGTAAGTGAAGATTGGTTTTGTGGGGTTTTTTCTGCTTTTATTAGCTTGCTCAGGGAGATACATTTGAACAGTAAATAATAACTTGGTTGGTATGTGTAATCCATATAGCCTCTTGACTGATTGCTCTCCTGCTTCAAATTGACTTGAACTGTGTCAGCTACTACAGGATTTGAATTACTGAGGAGGAGTTCTAGGAACCAGTATGTTTCTTTTAGGAAGTGTTAGGTGAGTCTGAGGTATATGTGATGGCCTGGATTTCTTACAGTTTCAAGAACAAAAGGGAAGACAGGGCTTTAGAAAGCTCACCCTGGGTATGGGTGAATTACACTGAAATGGGCTGACCACTCTTCATAGCAACTGATGCTACTGCTTCCAAGTAGTAATAAAGCTGTGAAAGTTGATAATGCAATTTATCACTCTGAAAGCTTTTCTAATTATGATTTAGTCGCCACAATGATTCTGTATATTGAAAAAGAGGCATTTCAAAGAAAGATACCATAAAAACTCTGGCTTTAAATGTTTCCCTAACTTTTAAGACCCATCTCCTATCTCAATGTCGCTAGCATTTGCCAACAGCATAGTGTCACTTACAAGCACTCATGCAGTGTTCGAATGGCTTGAAATACATGCCCTTTGCACCAGGCAGCTAAATCTCTGTATGTTCATACTGCCACCATATGAGATCAAATACTGCATCACTGAAGCCTTTCTGCACTTCAAAAATGTGACCCCTGCTGTGTGAGGAATGCCAAGTTTCCTCTTCGTTTAAAGAAAAAGAGGCCCTACCTAACTGAGTTTGTCCATCCAAGTTTCCATGGTTTCTCACATGAGAAAAAGGTCATCACTGGCAGGATGAAGTACAGCCAATCTGAAATGAATCCACTTCATAATATCCCAAAAAATTCCTTCTGTACTCCTACCAAGTCTTTGTCTTCATCTTTTTTTTTTTTTTTTTTTTTTCCTTATTGAGGCTCTGTGGATTCTTAACTGTTTATGCCAGGTAATATGCATAATTCACAGAACCACAGATGAAGTAAACATGCATAAGTGTAATAAATTTAGTTTGGTTTATCTACTGTGCATGGATTGATCTATGTTCTGTCTTTAAACTAGCAGTGATGAAGGATTTTTCTATTTGCTTATGCATAAAGTATATTTTACATTGCTATATGAAAAATTATTTGCTTTCTTTGTATTGCCAAGTGTAGTGTGCTCATTTTGTCTTTGTCTTATTTGTCTTACTTCTCTCCACAGTCATAGAATGTACAGCTGTTAAATAGTTTGGTTTATACTTTAACACCTCATTTAAGAATATTTGTCCTTCCCATACTCAGAGTTGTCCAGCTCTCTATAAGACCTTGGACAAATCTCTTCATTTCTGCATTCTCTGTCTACAAAATAGGAATAATCATGATGCATTGCTTTTGACTAGTATGGTAACAAGCTTTGAACTTCTTAGGAAGAATGGGTTGTAAAAGAGTGTAAGCGTTCCTTCCTTCTTCCGTGAATAACAAATCAGCAACTGCCATCGAGCTGTGTTACTATATATACACTTTTCAGGAATCATTCCAGAATCCCTCTATTTCCCCTCTGTTGCATTTCAAGAAATGTGCAACTCATCTAGATTAGGCAATTGGGAAGCATCTCTTTCCATCGGCCGTTAACACCACTTCTGCAAAAAACCCTGTATGAGAGTTTTTCTCTCTAAGGGAAATTACTATGATATTTCTACAAAAGTGTCTTTCTTTCAGAGCACAGATTTGTGTAGCTAGCTCTGGGTGACTACTTTTTGTTGGAATAGCTAGTAATTTCTATTGTGCCTACAGTCTGTGGGATTTTTAAAGTCTGGTCTTACCATATCCTTGATTTGCTGCTGTGACTCTGAAGTCAATGGGAGTCTTTCCAGAAGCCTTCTGTGGTTAACTTGTTGATTTAGTGACCAGTAAGTAGTCTTACTCTGAATACAAAAGATGTAAAGCAGAATTGATCTTAACCATGATGTATTTTCCTATGTGTATGTTAAAGAGATCATCACGTTTATTAGTGTTGAAGGGGCAGGATTGTTTTGAGAGGGTTTATGAATGCAAGTGTTTCAGTTGTTTTGTCTTGTTGTTAGGCAATTCAGAAAAGTCTTAAAATTAAGAGATTTCTTGTTCTGTACTTTGTTTTCATTTGTATGAAACAATAATTCAGCTTATAGTAGTCTAGGTTCCATTTCGGCTTTGTTTAATTCAAAGAAGCGTTTTTAGGGGTTACATTTGCTTACCTAGGTTTTACTTGAGAAGGAAATTTCTAGGCTGGGCAAGAAGCTATGAAAGCTCAAAGCTAATGGTGGTGTTTGTGTTAGACAAGACACAGTTCAGTGAGATGCAGTGTGCACCTTCGTTGTCTGAATGTTAGCAAGCAAAATTGACACCATATGTGCCCAACTGTAATTGCTCCAAGAGGGGAAAAGAGAAACATGTCAGAACATTTGAGTAACACCTAATTCAGCCCATGGTTATAAATAAAGCTGATGGTTGCTTAAAAACAAAAGTAGGAAAATATTATGGTTATATTATTCCTCAACAGCGCTTCCTACATAGGTGAACTTTATTACAGAGACAACACAAGTGAAAAGAAACATATAACAACATTTTATGGTATTTTTATGTTATTTTATTTTTTTCGCAGTAAATAAAGTGGTTATGAGGCTCCAAGGAAAATGGCCCAGATGTTAGTGAGTTGTATGAAATTTAGTGAAACAAGCTGTAAAAAACATAGTCATAAAACAGCCTGTCAATGCCACACATCTGGACAATGCAGCTGTATGTTCCCGCTGCTGTCATCACCCTAAGAAAACTCAATAGCCTTATTTCACCCCAATTAGGCTGCATACCAACAGAATTGGAATTATGCAGGGAGGGGGTGTATTTTCACCAAGACAGACCCTCTCAATTTCCCTTCAAGAAGTTTTTATCCTTCATTCAGGACTAGTGCCTCAGACACTAGTCACTTTGTAAACAGCTCACCAAACTATTCCCCTTGATTTGCTATCTATTAAATACTTTTAAATTTGTTACTTTACAATAAGTAGTTTCTTAATGTTTCTTCTTTGTTTAAAACCTACAAAAATTACATTTTACTGTAAGAACTGTGTGTCTATTGACCCTTACATATATCATAGAAGTTTTCTCTATTCTAATTTTATTTCATACTATAGCATATATAACTTCATTTGAGGTCTTAGGAACCAAAGAATAGCTATGTGTCTTACTGATACGTTGTTTTTCTGAAAGTGTGACCATTTTGACCCATGCACTGTATAATGTGAGACAGCACTTCCTCATTTCAGTATGCAAAATATCTGTTGAATGCAATATTAAAGCCATACAAGTAATAGTTATTTTGGTTTTTTGGGTTTGTTTTTTTTTGGTTTTTGTTTTTGTTTTTTTTTTTTTTATCTCTGCAGGTGATAGAAGTAGCCAAAGCCATTCTGGATAGCGGTGAAGAAATTCCTGTAACACTAACTGGAAAGCTGTTGAAATTTCAACTGCTTTGTCTCAAACAGAAGGACCTTCAGAGAAGAGAAGCTGAAAAGAAGGTACTGTAGTATGCCTTAGGGAGAATGCTTAATTAACTTTATGAAGACACGTCTATTCTAGTGCTGTTTCCATAAAGTCAGCTTTCTTCTCATGCTTAACTTCCTAGATCTGTAATTGAAATGTGAATAGAAATTTATCTTTTTAAGTTAATTAGATTTTTAATTTTTTTTAATTTCTGAAATGCAGGTGACACAGGGGGGAAAAAAAAAAGAAAAAAAAATATTGCACAAGAACTCTTTGCTAGGTTAATAAGTAGTAATGTCTTAACTGAGTCTCAGGACCAATCGAAAATAGAGCTAGAATCTGGCTTCAGCTGAATATATCTCTGCTGAAGTAAAGGTGGGAGAGGTTATTACTTGAGAGGTATCAAGGATAGATGCAGAGCAGCACTATGAACAAGTTGTTATCGTGAACCATGTCTCAGGAGGAAATTTGGAGAAGTTACCTATTCCGTCCTCCAGCATTAAGGCAGGATAAAATATACATAAACTACTCCTGTTGTTGAACCTGTTCTTAAAACCTTCCACTGCTGCACTTCTGCTTTTCTACTGCAATCAGTATTACTGCTTAACCATCTCTTCAATGTAGCCATTTGGGAAATATTTCTAACCTCCTCAACTCTGCTCTAATATAAACTCATTACTACTTCACTTCTCACTGTGCACAGGAACAGTGGTTCTTACCCTCCATTCTGCAGAAATCTATTACATATTTAACTAAACAAATCCAAATATATGTCATGGTTTCTAGTTTTTGATTATGCTTGTTCCTCTCCTCTGAACTCTCTCCAAATAGTTCATATCTTGAAGTCTGCTTCTCAGAACTGGGTACCACATTTTCCAGTGTTCTAAAAACTCACTTCCACATGTTCTCCAAGATCGTCACTACTAGCTCACAGATTGCCTCTATCAGGTTGCTTATGCGTTCTAGGAGGAATCTCACCACGCTTGTACAGAATTGCAATCAGAACACACCTCTGATTGCTTTCTAACATCTATAATTAAAAAAAAAATTGTTGTCAGTGGCATATTTCAACAAGTTACTGAACAGTTGGTCTTTGCTATAGTCATTTTCCAGCAAACATTAATGCAGCTGAAGAGCATTATCAGAAAGTCATATAATTGCTGTGATAGTTTACCCTGCTAATCGTTCAAAAACTATAGTGTAAAATGGGATGAAATGGAGATCTAAGCAGTCTATGTGTGTAAGAGATGCAAGAAGAAAATGGCTTCATGGATTCTATGTAGTGGAAAAGTCTGTAAATTTCTTTATCAATAATTCTATTTGTGGGAATAGTTGGTGGATAAAGTATAGAGCACAAGCACAAGAACTTTAAATGGTCGGTGGTAAATTAAAGGTGTGTCCTTCCCCTAGAAGTCGTTGCAGAATTGATTAGCAAGTGATAATGTAAGCCACAGAAATATATAAAGAATCTGAGAAAAAAATAAATATGTTTTTAATCTGAAGAGAAATTGAGAGGCTGAAGCTATAGAGCAGATTTCTTATAATGAATAGAGAAAATATGGCTTTTCTGTTAGATAGTGGTCAGTGCTGATAAGTAAACTGTAAAACAAAAATTGAAAGTTTAAAGATTAGGCACTTCAGTATTAAAATGGAGCCTTTAGTTTTGATTTGGCAAGCTTACACTTGTAAGTATAATTTTATTTCCCTGGGGAATCTAAGGATAGTTGGTATTGAAGATTAAAAAATCTCTGGAATTTAAAATTTCTTCTCTGTTGTAGCCAAACAATCTGGACAAAGTTGTCAGCTCCTCTGGATTGTATCTATGTCAAAGCGTGACAAGCAAAAATGAGAGAAGCTGTTGAAGGACAAAGAGTCAAGAATTGGGTGGGCTCTTGGCTATGAGGGTGCTCTGCAGTACAGAATGGACAGAAACTGGGTTTTAATTTAGAATTCTAACTCTAAATTGTCTGCCATAGAAGTTTTAATCCATTCAAACTAGCTTGTACAGTGCAAGTTCCATTGCAAACAACTCGGGGGTTGAAAGCAAGATTTTACTAGCAGATCAGTTCTCAGAAAGCCAACATAACTGCCCATTATTTTTTAGAATAGGCACCAGTTAATAGAATGGATTGGCAGAGGAAAAACAGCAAGTGAATACACAAAAAATAAACCATTAAGAAATTTCTGTATTTCATTAGGAGCAGAAGCTTGTCATAAATTGACAGGCATATACATTAATATGCAGGAAAGAAGAAATGTCTCTGAATTAAAAAACTGTTTGAGGTAGTAAGATTCTGTAATGTGAAGCTTAAAATAACAAAATTACAGAATGTAAAGCTGATGGAAGATTAGAAACTCCACAAAAAGCTGCACCTTGTATGGAAAGAGAAATATGACATTGAGAGGAAAAAGAAAGAGTCCTAGAAAGGAAAGGCTTTTAGTTCCTGAGGTATTAAGGTCAACTAGTGTTCTTTTTTGGAATCTTGTCAAGTTCGGAAATGTCTCTGCTTATTTGAGACTTATTTACATAAAATGATGCAGATGCAATAGATAAAGCTGATTGTGAACTTTGTAGGCTGATGATTGTATCATCTATTTTGATGTGTTCATCAGCTTAGAATTCATTGTACTATCTAAATCTTTGGATTGAAATATCCAAAGTTGAATATATTTGAAAGAAAATCATTAAAGCATCCAAATCCCTCATTTCACAGCAGAAATGGTTTTAAGAATCTCTTGAAGACATTTCTAAATTTTAGAGAAAAGGAATGCATGAAGAAGGGAAAAGAAGGAAAAGTTTTTCTGCTTTGGTTTTGAATTTGTACTAAACACAACTTCTACAGCTGGAAAGTCTGCTTTTCCAGCTGGATCTAGTGAAAGCAACTATGTAGAGTCAACTGCCCTGTCTCATTTGCACGGAGAGCTTTTCTCATTGCTTTAAAGTGACACCAGCAGGATGGTAACAGTGAGTTAAGTTAATATCATTTTATTCTATTTGATTTAGCTTTACAGTCCTTAAATGTTGTTCTTGCATAGTTAGTGCGTAGTACTGATGCTGAGTAGAAATAAGGTGGAGGCTTTCTTGCTCTTACAGCACCTCACTTTACCTTAATATATTTTGGATTATTTTAATTTTAGACTGGCTCTGAGCTTTCTGGATTTATAGTGTGAGGCGTTGGATACTTAGAAAATCCTTTTCATTCTTTACTCTTAAATTACTGAGCAGAACTTAATGTAGGTGTTTTTGTTTGAAAATAATGAGAATGGCTGAGTAATATCCTGTGTGAAATGAGCACAAGACTCTTGGTTCTAGTTTATAGTAGACACAGGTATTTACATCAAAGAAAAATAGTGCTGGTAGAATTTTACACCATACTCAGGAATGTTAACAGAGATGCTACAGACTTAACAGAATTTGAATTTTTGTCTTATTTCCATTTAGTCCAGGGAAGGTTTCTGGCTGATGCAAGTGCTGTAGTGGCAAACTAAAGCACAGTGATTCTTTACTCATCTTTCTACCAGTATACATTTCATTAGTTTTGTAGGTATAATGTCTACCTACCTCTTGCAGTTTCTCTTTAATGTGAAGTCTTAACACTATGGTTTAGTAAGAATATAATAAACTGAATGGTTTGAGAAGGATAAAGCAGAGTGTTCAAGACAGCTTCACCACATCAACGTTATAGTGGCTGAGAGGGAAAAGCATTCAAATAAAAAATTGAACCACTAAAATTTTACAGCAGTCTGCTCTTTGTTCTGCGCAAAGGCTACAAAGAGAACTTGGTTTATTCATCTTGTTAGGCAGAAGAAGATCAACAAAAGGAAAAAGATGGAAGGAAAGAAAAGACTAAACCTCCTGGCAAGAAGGAGAACCTCCCTAGTGCCCAGACAGCTGAGAAAGAAAGGAAAGGAAAAAAGATGGAAGTAGGCCCTCTAGCACCAGTCACTGTTAAAAAGGACACCCAGTTGAAGCGACGGGGAGAAGCAGAAGAGGAAGACAAATACATTGGTATGTAAAAAAATGCAGATATACTCCTGATAATCTTGCAGCCTAGCTTGTAACTGAATACTTTGTTTTGTTGCATGTTGAAAAGTCAAGATCTATTTGGCAATATTAAAGCATTGCCACTTTGTATTTGAAGAGGGCATGGTGTTCTGCTCAGTATTAGGATCGATTGTTCCGTCCAAGAAATAAAATAAAGATGAGGTATATGTAGCCTGTTGACATCAAATTGTGTTAGCATGTGTAAGGCTAAAAGGAAGTGGCTAAACAAATCCTACAGAAAACCTTTCTTACAGAAAGATTTCTGAATGACTAAATGCATTTGTGTCAGTATCCAAAGATGCCTTTCTCCTTGTGTTATAAAGTATAACAGAGCTGTCTGCCATTGTCTGGGGGTGAAGCCAGGTTCTGTACAAAGGGCAATATGATTTCATTTGCTGTAAAAACACATGGATATAACTGAGACCTGAAGAAGTCTACTCCAGAAATGAGCTACAAGAGGTAGAGAATAATATGGTAACTAGTGCTGAGAAAATCTTTATTCTTAATACGTAGCACCCATGGTTACAAATTTTACTGGAACAAAAAATAATGGAGAATATGCATAGCTCTCCTCCATTAGATCACAGTTGTATTTAGTTTGGACCATAATATGTTTGAGCTACATCAACATAAACAGGATCTCTCCTGCTGGAGAAGGACTTGCTGATTTTTGGATGCATTATGTACCTGCTATTCCCTAGTTGAACTGCTGCTGGCTTTCCTCACTCTTTCATCAAACCTTTGTCTGCGTCTCATTTGAGATCAATGGCAGTCTTCAAGCATCTAAAAAGCATCAGTCCAGGTGTTTAGAGCAAGTTTGAGTCTCAGTGAAGCAGACAAAAGTATGCAAGAACAGAACATTAGCTATCTCTACATAGCTCCTCCTTTTTTTCAGATGCAGCTTGGCTATAACATCATTCTGATGATGATGATTTTAAGGTTTTTCAGGGCCTGAAACAAGGAGTGCTCAAAGAAACATTCATGCCTTTAAGAGTCCAAGCTGAAGTGATGTAAAGAACTCATGTCTTCTTACTAAAATTAGTACAGAATGTATAGTACAGAGTGGCTTTGGGTGGGTATTAATATGCTTCACATATTAATAGGCCACATAGAAACAATTTTACCAGCCTTAACATTTTTGCTCCTTACTGCCTTGAGGGATGGACAGAAAACATCAGGTACCTGTATATGGTACCTGCATGCTTTACTGCTTTGTCGGTCATAGTTAATGAGAAGACAAAGTGAGGAAAATACAAATTGCTTCCAAAAACTAACAGCCATGAAAAGTATCCTTGTTTAGTATGCTTTAGTAGCTTTATATTATGAACTACTAGCACTGCTGTTAAACTATGATTTTATTGACTGGAATTTGTCTCATTAGTCCCAAGGATATTTACAAAATAGTAATAGTTGTAGATTGCCTCAAAGGAGAAGTTGTTGAGGTATTTTGTGCTTTGTCACTTGTGCTGTACTTAGTTTTACAGTCATGACTGTACTGAGCTGAAGCCATTCTGAACAATTCACCACATTGATTGTGCATTCACACAGTTGGGCTTGATAATAAACAAATTGATTCTGACTCCCACAAAAAAACCTGTAATCAGTGGATTGATTTCCAGTCTGAAGACAGTAGGAACTACTAACAATGGAAAAGGTAATCTGACCTTGGTTCCTTTAGTCACACTGAGGCAGACAGTGAAGAGGAACCTATAGCCCTAAGGACAGCACCCCTCAAACCCTTCGCTCTAGGCTACAGGAAAAACATAACTATTGTTTTATGGGTAGGTAATTGTTTCTTCATTCTTCCTGACAGTTCCACCTAGAAGTCCATACCAAGAGAAAATTAAGTCAAGTATTGCCAAAACTTGTGGAGACCACTGTAAATGAACATTAAGCGTGGTGAAACAACTGTGTCAGGATTTTCTGTCTTTCCTTGAGAACATGGCAATTGAGGTTCTCAAGGACCTTATGCTAAAGCTTTGTTTTGTGTCTTGAGACAAAGTGGTGCTGGCTCCATTTCTCAGTGTCAAGAACATGTAGATCTGTGAAACTTTTCTACCGAGAATGTAGTACTTTAAAAATCTTCATACGTATTTCATATTTTACATGAGTCTGAGGAGGAGACACAAAGATCCTTGGATGATCCTTAAAGCTGATACTGTGAAAAATTTTTGCAGCCCTCTTGGCCACTCTTTCTCCTGGTGCTTCTCAAAACAGTTATTATTTCTGACTTGTATTCTTCTTGATGAGTTCTAGGTGGTTTGCTACAGAAGACTTCAGTCTAATGCACATAATATTTTGAAACTTATGTAATTACCCCAATGACATTCTAGAAGAACTGTTTATCTGACCTTAATTTGCAGTATCCCTGTATAGTCAAGAAAAAAAAAATATTTTGTTTAGCTGTTGAAAGTCCTTGCTCTAAACTGTTTTTGTTGTGTTTTGAACAGATGATGAACCAGATGATGGTGCCCATCATTACTTTATAATTTTGGGGTTCCACAATCCACAGCTGTTGCCTGTGATGTCTGATCTTGGGATTAACATTTCAAGTGTAATTAGAATTTCTTCTGAGAATTATAAACCGTTGCAGACATACTTGGAAGCAACTAAACTTCAAGGAGAATCTTTCCTTTCACCTGAAGGTAATCTGGTCATAAGAACAAAATTTGTATAGAAAGGAGACTATTGTATATCCAAGTAAAGACTGTTCCTGCTGTGTTTTTCTCCCTCTCTGTGCCTTGTGTTTGTGCATACTACCTGTGAGCAGCTGTGTTTGCCAGTGCAAAAATGATATTGCCATCGGTTGGTCACCAAACAAGATGGTTTGCCAGGGCTAAACTTGCCTCAGCTGGACAGTAGAAAGAGGGACTGACTAAGCAGGCAGTGGTTGCAGACATAGTTTTCTGCAGGAGCCACTGAATAACAGTGTTTTATCAAACGTATACTTCTATGAGTTGTTAGCCAGGAGCTGTGTTGCTAAGCAAACTTGGCTCGTTTGGTAATTTCAAGGGAAGTGCACAGCTGGCTACTTTTGGACTGTGGCCCCATCCAGAGAAGAATGTGCCACAGAGTAACACCCTGCAATTGTACTCAGCTCTCCCCAGGCTGTAACACCTCTCTTGAACTGGGATCCTGGTGAACAGAGGCTAAATATGGGTCATCAATGAAGTCTAACCGCACTGAGGTGTAGTTACATGGCCAGTAGATCAAGAGATGTGGTTATTCCCTGTTACTTGGCTCTCATGAGAACACAGTTTTGGGCTGCAGTACAAGATAGATACTAATAAACTTAATTGAGTCCAGCAGACAGCCATCCTATGAGGAGTCGCTGAAGGACCTTGGCTTGCTTGATCTGGAGAAGGCTTACAGGATACCTAATAGCATCCTTCTAACACTTCTGAGAAGGTCACTACGAACACAGAACAAGACTCTTCATTGAGGTACCTGGAAGAAGGAAAACTGATTGTGATCATGAACAGCCTTTGGAAATCCCAGGCCCCAGAGACAAGGGGAAAGTCTGGAGAAGGAAGACATACTCTTGGTGGAAGAGGTCAGGGAATACTTAAGCAAACAGCATATGTAAGTCCATGGGACCTGATGGGATGCAGTTATGAATACTGAGGGAGCTGGCTGTGATGTCACCGCAAGGCCACTCGCAGTAACTTTTGAATGATCATGGCAGTTGGAAAAGGTGCCCAAGGACTGGAAGAAAGCAAGTGTCACTCCTGTCGCCAGAAATGGCAGGAAGGAGGACTCAGGGAACTAAAGGCTGCTCAGACTCACCTTGATCCCTGGGAAGATGATGGAACAGCTAATCCTGGAAGCAATTTCCAAGCACATAAAGGACAAGAAGTTGGTCAGTCAGCATGGATTCACCAAGGGGAGGTCATTCTTAACCGACCTGATAACCTTCTATGATAAAATGAATGGCTTGGTTGATGAGACGAGAGCAGTGAATATTGTCTGCCTTTACTTCAGTAAGGCCTTTGGTGTTGTCTCCTCATAAAGAAGCTGAGAAAGTATGGGCTGGATAAGCAAACACTGAGGTGGGTTGAAAACTGGCTGAATGCCCTGGCCCAGAGGGTAGTGATCAGTGGTATGAGTCTTGCTCAACATCTCCATTAATGATCAGGGTAGTGGGGCAGAATACACCCTCAGCAAGTACTCTGATGATACAAAACTGGGAGGAGCAGCTGAAACACTAGAGAGTTGTGCTGCCGTTCAGAGGGACCTCGAGAGTCTGGAGAAATGAGCTGTCAGGAACCTCATAAAATTCAACAAGGGCAAAGTCCTGCATGTGGGGAGGAATAATCCCATACACCAGTTCGTGGTGGGGACTGATGGGCTGGAAAGCAGTTGGGCAGAAAAGGACCTAGGGGTTGTGGCACTAGGTTGAACATGAGCCAGCAATGTGCCTTTGTAGCGAACAAGGATAATGGTATCCTTGGGCTTCATCAGGCCAAAGAAGTTGATCCTTCCTTTCCACTCAGCACCGGTGAGGCCACACCTGGAGTTCTTTGTCCGGTTCTGAACTCCCCAGTACAGGAGAGATATGGAGCTACTGGGGAGAGTCCATCAAATGACCACAAAGATGTTTAGGGGACTGGAGCATCTCTCATATGAAGAGAGGCTGAGAAAGCTGGGAATGTTTACTCTGGAGAAGAAAAAGACCAGAGGGATTTCATCAATGTCTGAAGGGAAGGTGCAAAGAAGAGGAAGCCAAGCGCTTGTCAGTGGTGTTCAGTGACAGGACAAGAGGTGATGGCAAAAACTGAAACACAGGAGGTTTTACCTGAACATAAGGAAACACTTTTTTTGCTGTAAGGGTGACTGAACACTGGCACAGGTTGCCCAGAGAGGCTGTGGAGTCTTCATTCTTGGATATATGGTCCTGGGCAACCTGCTTGAGCAGGGGAGTTGGACCAGATGACCCCCAGAGGTCACTTTCAACATCAACCATTCTGTGACTCTGTAACTGGAATAGAAGATTGTGGCAAGATATGGAGGGTGTGGGGGTGTAGGAAGTTACCCCAAAGGCAATGAAGCATTGCAACAGGTTGCCTGTAGGGGTTGTGGGATCTCTGTCTTTGAAGGTTTTTAAGACCGAGCTGGATAAAGCCCTGAGCCTGTTGTCTGAATTTCCTGTTGACCATGCTTTGAGCAGGAGATTGAGATTCCTTCTGACCTGAATTATTTTAAATCCAAGTCAAAGTCTGGTGATAAATCAGTGTGACAAAACTGAGTTGGTAGCTATAATTGTTCATGCATGTGTTTTTTGACTAATAATTATGGTTCCAATTATAACTGTGCATATTGACTTTCTGCAATGTTCTCTGTGGTGCTGGAAAATCCCTCGTGATGGATTCTGATGCTGTTGAGATGGCACGAGCAACATAAATGAGAGGAATGGTGTCCTGGGTATGTTAGGCAGGAGAGAGAGTTGTGAGTGCTGAAGTACATGAGATGGAGTGGTGTCACTCACTGCCATTCTGACCACTGATGAATACAAACCATTTACCTATGAGTGTTGTGAAGGCTGAACTGTCTCAGTGTGCTATTTCTTCCTTCACATTCATGTTGACCAAAAGAGATACTCATATTGCCTCGTGATACAGGTTAGACTGTGTGGGCACTAGAGAATCTGTCCCCAAAGGTGCCAAGGTGAGCTAACATAACTCATAGATTTAGCCTTTAAGACTTAGGCAATCACAGCACCAATTGACAGACTCAAACAATTAATGCCATGTTTGAATTTGTTTGATGAACAATCTTACCTCTGGGAAAAGCCTGAGAAGAAAACACAATTTCCAGCTTCTTATGGTTTTGTTGTAAAATCTAAAGGTAATGTCTTACTAGAAAACAGTTGGAAGTGCAGAGAGCAGAAAGCATGGGT